AATATGTGTGGGCTGAGTACTGAAATAGTTACTGGTGTACCAACCCAGGCATGGAGAAGTCCAGCTGACATTCCTCGCTTTGTCAGAAGTTTCCTCTGGAACGTTAAAAGTTGTCCAAGGCTGTCAAAACCATTCGCAACCTGTCACCTGTCTTTAAATGACGCGCCGAGTTGACGTGCACGTTTGGCCACTGCCCAGCGTTAACAATGGTGCGATCACCATTCAAGCTGCTGTGTGGTGCCGCGGCATCCATCCTTTCTAAGAGTATTAGCGGTAAGAGGAAGAAACAGCCAACCCAGAGAGCAAGTTCCCTGCTGCGTGAAATCTGATTTTACAGAGGACTTTATTTGACCTGAGCAGTGCTTCTAGTTGCATGGGCCAGGAGACCAACACTGCCCTCCTGGTGGGATAGTTCCCCTTGCCTTCACCATGAGCTTGGAGGGTGTTGTTACAGCAGCCTTCACACATTTTGCCTGATCCCCCCAACCCCCAGTTTAACAGTCCACATGTGTGTCAATCAATAAGTTCAAGCACGTGTAACATCTTCAGTCATTTTAAGAGTGATCTCCAAAAAAATGTTGCTTACTTTTCAGAAAAGCAAAGCAAACCTTTCACAGAAGATCTTGCTTTCTGTGAGTGTCTCTCTCACAGTTTATTCACAGAGCTGGCTGGCTGTTTCACTCCAATTTATTAGTAAAACATCCTGGTGTTCTGTGTGGTACCACCAACGGTTTGAAGCAGGGAATTTTACAGAGTATTTCGGGACAGTGCAGCCTCTTGTGTCAATGCAAAACACCAAAGCAACGTTATAACAAAATTCAGAGCTTACGTATTTTCACCTTAGTTCCATTTCATGTCACTGAAATGTGTAGAATTTTAATTTATGTTTTGGAAAACTGATCAATACTTGCATTCAAGTGCTAGCATCATGGAAACAGAGAAAACTGAAACGAGGCGGGGGGAAAGTTCCTATTTCTTCAGCAAATATGCTTTTTTTGTGTTTTTTTTCTTTATTATAGGTTCTCTCGCCCTGAAGCAGTGCTGTTTCCTGCAGAGAGGGACAGCAGCTTTGACTGTGTGTTCTTGCCAAACTCATAGGAGCGGTGGTCTGTCATTCCTTCTTTTCAGGTTGTCTGAGGGAATTAGGTACTCCTCTGCAACGCTTCCCCTTGTTTAGAAAGTTAAAAAGAACCACAGCGCCAGAAATAGTCAATGTGAATTCCTCGTCCCCAGGCTTGGTTCGCCAGGCTCTGCAGAGTCATCGCAGATTATTTGCATGGAGATGGATAGACAAGAGAGATCTTGCTGAGATTAGTGAGACATGACGCTTTCATATTTTATCACAAGCGCTTATCCATGTTAAACTCCCAGGGCGCGCTTCATTTTCGCTGGTTCTTCCCCTCTCCTTCAGGAGGATACAATCACCCACTCAAGAAGCAGAAATAGTGCATGACTAACTATGTCACGGAACAAATGATTAACACTAAGTAGTTTGTGCTAGCTGTTTGCAAACAATCCACGTGCTGACAATTATGCCGAAGCAATTTTGTGAATACCTAACTTGATGTATTTTGCATAACTCAAGGCTGGCTCCCAGATCATTAGATTCATAACTTCTGTCTTGTTTGTTAAATTCATAAATGTCATTATTTCTTCTAGTCCATGGGACTGGTAGTGCTAGACTCGACTGTGATACTAGTCTGTAACACTGGGCTGGCAAAGGCTGTAGGAAGGACGGTGGCTCTGATGAGCGAGGTGCCATTGAAAATGAGTTACAACTGCTGTGCTTTAAGCATTTATAAGCCACAAAGTGCAGGGGAGAGCAGTCATGTGCAGGCAGATCCATCAATACATCTGATGCTTTCGGATTTGCAGCTACGCAAATAAATATGCTGTTTGCCCCAGCTGCACCCCGCCTACCCTCAGGGAGCTTGGTCTGGGCTGCCCAAGTGAGTCAAAATGCTCATAGAGTTCATTATCAGAAGCTGAGTTCCTCTTCGTCAGCTGTGATCGCTCATTAGCCATCTGCTGATGTCACAGTTAAAGAGACTTAGAGAGAGCATAGCGTCCACATGCGTCATCACACAGACTGGGGCAGGAAAAAAGAAAGCTGAGCTGTGAGGAAGAAAACGTCTCGTATGTCAGTAGGAGGCTCAAGCACAGACAAGAGTTTATTGATTCATTTGGTTCGGAGTATTTGAGAGCCTTTTGACTCACAGAAATGTGCAGCCGTACCAGATCCTAAAGCACAAAGCTCTTAAAAAATAAATAACTGATGTACTTGCATAATTCGTGCTTTGCAATGGGTGTAGAGGGTTTCAGCTGTCACAAAGTTGCACAAACGCTGCATAACTTTAAGGAGGAGTTATGTTATTTTTCAAGAGAGGAATACTGAGGTGGTGGAATTCAGAAGAATTGCAGCAGAAAGGGAAGAACCAATGTTGAAAAGAAAACTAGATCTGTAAAGGCCTTTCCCCTCATTTCCATGCTGCAAAGCATTCTTCCCATCAATATCATCCAGCCTGTTTAATTGTTGCTGTTACTTTCATTACCTTCTCATAAACAAAGCCAACCCCCATTAAACAGCCACAACAGTTTTTTCCCTTTCCCCCTCTAGAAACCTAAAGTAGCAGTATAAATAAGTTTTCGCATAAACAGGTAAGATGAAGAACTTTATTTACAATTAAGCAAATTTGGTATTTAATTCCATCACAGCAGTTTTTCCACCTCCTCCTCACTAGTTTTTTCTACAAGGGTAGAAAGTGTGTAAAACTTCCCCACCACCAAAGGTTTTTCTAGTAGGAGCAGTATGCTGAGTTATTTTTGTCCATGTGCTATTGAGTCTCTCATCAACAAGGGAAGATCTTGTATTTCTTTGATGCAGTGTAGATTTCCAAATTTTTTTTCAATGCTATGCAGTTTATACAGCTCTCCAGCCTCGCAAGCACCGCAGAGCTTGCCTCTGGGCTGCACATGGGGCACCAGCAGCACAGTGGAACAGGAGGGAAGGCTGTTAAGGCAGAAAGCTCGCTCTTGATGGTAGAGCTGCTGCACCCACGGCAGTTGTAGGGCTCCATTGCCACCAATAGTGGTTTGTCCATACGGTGCTTTTATGCAATTGCAGCAGAAAAGGGATCTACAGGGTAAGGCTGATGAGCTTCTCCTGGCGGCGTGATGCTGGGACCAACTGCACTTGCCACAGGCAGAGTCGAAGGAAAAGAGAATTATATTTATTTGGCCAGTGCTAGTGTCTCATGGTTAGTGCTAGTTTCTGGTAAGTGATGGTGTCAGACAGCAGTACAAATCTTCAGTGCAGCTCGATGGCCCCCATCAAGCGCAGCATACTGTTTTTCCTAGTGTGCATGGGCACATATTTATCATCAGCCTGTGCCGGTGGTCATATACTACATACACATGGGTGGACACATTGCTTAAAGCCTACAAAATGTCAAACTCAGTGGCCAGTACAAAGGAGGGATAAGTAAATATTGTTCATATTTTACAGTGATTTACAAGCTCCGTGCAATCACTTAATTGTTGATCTAAATATCTATGGTAGGTGCAGAGTAAAAGAAAACCTGGTAGCAGTAATCTATGCAAATATCTGTGCATAGTGGAGAGGTGATGGTGTTGTGTATTTTCTGTCAAGCATTTAGATGAGAGCAGAAGATTGAGTCAAAACTAGGAGCTGTGAATGTTTACCTGATGATCTTGCACATTGTAAATCAAAGGATGAAACAGGCATGGGTGGTGATTTTTGATATATTCTCCCAACCCTCACCACAATACTTGCTGTAAATCACTTTCTGCTCTGTGAAGTACCTACTACAGTAAGGTCTCGTTTCATGACTCTGCATCCAGGACTCTTCTGGAATACAATGAGTAATTAGTAAGTTGCTTATCCACTTAAGACTAATGAGGAAATCAGAGTATCCAAATGCTTGCAGACATGGAGTCCTAATGATGCAAGTATCAGTGTGATGGGTCAGACGAGGGCAGACCAGTGCACTGTGAGTAGTGTAATGGTACAAATGCCCAAATTATTTAACAGTAACGTGTAAAATAAATGGCTGTTTATTACTTTGTACATTCCTTTATCTGTTGAGGCAGCTGTGTCTAGTATGGGAAGGAACAGGAAATTTGAGCCTTAGATTCTGCTTCTGGCAAAATCTTGGTATATTCTCCAAGATGTGTGACTTAACCTCTTTTTTTTTTTTTTTTAATCTTTTTGCCCTCTGATTCCTTCCTGTATAAAAGGGTGTGAAATATTGCTGTAAGCCTTAAGATGGGCAGAGAGCCGTTTCACAAAGGAGCGAGAAGCCTGGCCCTGCCGTGGTGGTGATCTGTATTCCCCAGGGCACTGCGGAGGGGGTTAAGCCCATTTTACAGAGAGGGGTTTGCTGGCAAAGGGAGCACAAGACGAGGCAGGGATTTCAAACCCGATCGCTCAGTTTCTGTATTCGACAACTGGCCAAGGCCCCTTCCTCCTCATCCTCCTCTTCCTCCTCCTCTTCCTCCTCCTCTCCCTGTGTGCCTTGGTAACAGGCTCTGCGCAGTCACATACTTTTGTGGGTAGTTGCTGTATGCCTTATTGGAAACTCAAATGACAAAACTTCTAAATTGTACGGTTGTCTTTTGGGGTTTGTTTTTTGGTTTTGGTGTTGTTTGTTTGTTTTTTTTAATGACAATGCATTAATTCAGGATTAGGAAGAAAAGTAGGGAGCGGTGATTAAAAAATTTACAGTCAATATAAGTCACTAGGCTTTGCTGCATTTTCAAAAGTCAGATTCTTGTCTTCTGTTGAACGATAGTAACTCTGCAGCCAAGGGGCTAACAAACATCACACCTCCCGCTTTATTTATCTTTCCCTCCTGCAGCAACTGCTGGTGTTGAGCAGCATTTATCCTTGAACTATTTCTTATGCAAACAAACTACCTCCTGCTGAGGAAAGTAGCTTCATTGCCTGGTGCAATTAGTGAAAGCTGCCCAGCAACGCGAGGATGCGGGATGAGACCCTCCTACCCTGGCTGGTGGGGCAGCGTCGTGGACGTTGTCTGGGCAGCAAGTGGTGTTTCATGGCCACTCAGTATGGCGTGTCCTGGTGGCCAGTCCCCTCTGTCAGCTCCCTGCCCTACCGCACACAGAGGTATTTGTTTTTAAAAGAGATGTTTGATTTTTTAATATTTTTTTTTCCCCTGCTCACCCCCTGCCCTGAGAGCCAATTATAACTCTTCTTTCTAATTTCCCATCTTTCTAATTAAATCCTTGGTGTATTAAATAAGAAACCTCAAGTGGAGATGTTTAAATTCTGTTTAAGCCAAGCAAGTACACACAAGAATTACCCTTAGAGCCATGATTTAAATGTCTAGCTTCAGTAAGATGAACTCCTAACTTAATCTACCCTGGCCTCATTTAATAGAGTTAAGAGATCAGTCTTTGCAAGCTTAATTCTCAGCTTTCTTTCATACGAAAAATCAATATGGAGCAAAATGCACCTGTAGGTAAAATTAATCCTGTGGAACATGCCTGGAGCAAGGCCCAGCAGAGGAGGAGCTGGTGCTGGCTTTCTGAGGAACGGGACATGCAGAATTAATTTCTCCCACTGTATTTTGCCACGTGCAGCCATCATTCCAAGTGGCTGCTCCACGCGTAACTGTGTGCTGCACAACCCGAGCATGTTTCTCTGAAAGGCAGGGACCCACAGACGAAGAGGCTAATTTGGTTGCTAGTCATTGTCCTCCAGGAGCAGCACGCAGCGCCCTGCAAGGAGCGCGAGGAGTCCCAGGGCAGCAGGGGCTGCCCGCAGTAGGACAGCCCTGCACGCCGCAGCCGGAACGTCGTTTTGCAGCATTGGCTCAGGATGAACAGGGAAAGTTTGTTGTGAGTCGCCACCTCCTTCCCCATTTGTCTCCAAGATCCAGTGACCTAGTTCCACTCTGCTGAGCTGCAGACACCAGATCTGGTTGCACAGCCTGTTGGTAGGCATGCAGTAATTTATAAACATAATGGAAAGCGAGGGCGCAGCTACTGAAGGTATGGGGAATGCAAATGCTCAGGAAGAGTTGACGACACTTCCAGCCATGCTTGGATTGGACTAGTGGGTGAAAATCGTGCTCCAGATTTTATTCCTTGCTGCGGGTGTTAACGGTGAATAAAATCTAATTGGATTAAAAGCTGCACAGGTACACCAGGTGCGTATCAGAAAGGACATTAGCTGCTTTTGCAAAATGAGATCAAACTTCTTTTACCTATATAACGAGTCAGTCTTTTCATGCTCCCTCTCCTTATATTCCACATTTTCTTCCAGAATTTTTTTTTCAGCTAGAATTTTGCGCATGCCTAAAATGCTAAATCATACAGAAAGTGTACTCACAGCCTGTTGTGCTTGTGAAAAAGTACCATTTTCAAGTGATACAGTGCAACATGTCCATCTTGCTGGTGGGAAGGTGGAAGCTGCCATAACAGGGCTAGGATAGGAATGCCATTGCAAGAGCCCTTTACGCTGAAGAGCCTGGCAGGGGTGACGTGCCAGATGCCCAGTGTGGAGCAGTGCTTGGCAGTGTGCATTGTAATTACAGCCTTGGTTGCCAAATCCTCTGTCAACTCTTGCACGGTGTTAATGGCAGTTCTCAAGAGCGAGGCATCAGAGCAAACACCGCATGCAATTAACATGAGCTTTAGAAACCCATTCTGTATGTGAAGCCAAGAATTTATTGTTAGTCTAATTAAGGTCCTAGCAGTCTAATCAAAGTAGTATTATTGGTCCCAGTGCTGATAATACTTATAGGCAAATTATCCGAGTACTACAGCTCATTCTCAGTAATGATACAGTTCAAATTGTCGCACACGCACTTCCGATATCTCCTTTCTCAGGTGTTGGTGTCATCCTTCCGTGCACCCCTGAATCCTGAAGTTGGTGTCACAAATGTTCTGCAGGGAGACAGAGCAAGTCGTGTGTGTTTTCAGGGGATGGGAGTTCTTAGTGGAAAGTCGTCTGTGTCTCAAGATCTCTGAAGGGAGGAGTATTATGTTGATGGCAGGAGTTTCTTCCTCCTCTGGGTTCGCTTTTGGTCATGTTTGTTAATGGTTTGTTTGTTAATGTTGTCTGCATCTCAGCTGTATTTGCTTGCCCACTCCTCACTCGTTTGCAGTTCCACCTGATATCCACATTTGCGATATCTGGTACATATTACGTGTTGGATGCTTGCTCTTTGCGCTCCCTAAACCCAATTTTACTCAGCTCCCAAGGTTGCAGTCTCCTAGTGACGAGTAGCTGACCATTGGTGAGTTGTGATTTTTAGCCCTGGCACCTCTGGCGCGCTCCTGTGCATACGGTGTCAAGGCTTCTGCTGTCATCTTGCGATAGCACTTCTGGGGATCCTTGATACAAACCCGTTTGTTTTTTTCAGGAGCCATTGAACTGTGGTTTCTTGATAATCCAAATAATGCTTTATTACTGCAACCTAATCACACCTATATCCTTGATCTAGGGTCATTAGTAATCACTCTAAAAGACTACTAAGAGTTCTTCCATTAGCGCACACACACAGAGAGCTCTGGTAGCTACTTAAATAATTTTCTTCAAGTTGAAAAACAGCACCACAGGTGTGTTATCAGAATTTCTTTACAACAACAGAGTCTCCTGTGTTGCACCTCAGACGTTAGGAGTGCCAGGACCAAGGAGGCAGATCTCAGAAGCCCAAAGTGCAATGCACTGTCTGCTCCCAAGTGCTGCCACAATTTTGGCTCTGCTGCTATCAAAAGTTGAATTGCTACCTGCCCTCATGAACCAAATCTGGGGGAAATTAAAATCCCTTCTCCTGGGCATCACCTGAATAACACGCATGGGAGAACGCAGAGCGCCTGCTTGGGAGTTGCTTTAAAACAGAGCCCTTCTGACTGATGGCCAGGATGTGAAAAGCACCAATGTTTGTGAGGTGCTTCTCAACAGATAAGCACACGAATGCCCCTAGACAGTCTGCCGAAGAGTTTTGAGTTAGTTGAATGCCATGTCTCCTTAAGGGAAGAATTAAATTCTGCTAAATGCTGTTTTCCAGCCATTCAGGCTCATAGTGGCATTCAGAAGAACCCCAAAAAGATACGCCTCTGTGGAACAGCCACTGTATTTTGCATTCTTTACAAGTGTGGGAAGACCTGTAATAGGGTAGCTGCAGCATGAATGCCAAATGAGAAATCCCGCTCACAAACATGACAGTCTAGATGCAGCCAGCCGTAAGGAAATGTCTTGCTGGAAAACGGCGTTAGAAAGAAAGTCTGGGGTAGAGCTAGCCAAGATCTTGCTCTGCTCACTTACGTGTGACAACCTGATTTCATCAGTGTTGAGCTGCTAGAAAATAATACCGTGCAGTAACAAATTTTCAATTGTGGCTAATAGTCACACTTGGTATCTCCTGGCATCTCTACCCAAACACTTGCAAGGGCTTTTGCAGATATTGGTGATAATACTGTGGTTCTTGGGAGCAAGAGTCACAAACATAGACCTGGCCACTCTTTGAAGTGTACTATGGAGCAGAGGTGGTTCTCTAGAGTTTTGCATTGCCATTCTAATGATGGAGGAAAGCCTATCATGGAGAATTAATGTAGCTCCCCCAATCTATTTGCATTCACAATTATCTGGGTTTTTTAACAATAATGACACATTTTAGGCAACGAAAAACCATTTTGGCTCTTGGCATCTGTATGTGATATTCTTCATCAAACTTTAAATACTAGATTTATTTTTTTTTTCCTCCTGGAGCAAAGAACACCTTGAAGTTTTTGAAGTATTATTACTTAAGATAATTTATAAGTGGCTATGAAGATAAATAATGGGTCTTACTTTCCAAGAACAGCTGAAAGTTCATATTTTATATTGCTTCTTTGACCTTGTGGAGAGGCATACATATTCAGATCAGTTTTGGAGTGTTTGTATGTAGGCATTAGAGATGCTAAGCAACCTCAAGTCATGACTGTGTGATCTAATGAGAGAAATCATTTTTAGGACAAACTAAGTCAAGAATTAACTAGTATAACTGTTGTGGTTTTTAAAGTCAACAGTCAGTGCCTTTTTAGGATCTACTTATAAAGCATTGTCTGGACAGATGCCAGGCTTCTTTTGCTGCAGGAATCAGAACAGCTCTGGCTAGTCTAAGCTAGCTTTTCACTCTCAGAAGCTTTTAAACCATCTGCAAAAAAGTCTTTAGTGTGGGAACCTACTGTCAAGACAGTTTGACTGTCTTGGTCAAACAGGTGTGTATGTGGAGACAGATGTGCAAGACAAGTAAAAGAGGAATTCATGAAGTCATTGTCTTTTTGGGCCAAAGGAAGTCTGAGATTTTCTCCCTCAGAGAACTAAAATTCTAAATAGCATAAGAAACGTACTACTGGTATTTTTAATCATACTGATGATGTTGCTTATGCTTAAGTGTTTTGCTGGATGAAGGCCTAGAAGCCAAATCTAATGCGTATTGATGTCCATGACAAGGCGCTGGGGGCTTAACTGGGACCAGAAGAGAGCCCAGGAGCAGCAGAACACCCAGGCCCAGCTCCCAGAGCTCTTCACAGGGGAGTGGAGGGATGTGTGCCTGCCCCGTGCACCGCTTGTATCTCTGCGGAAGCTGCAGAGTGGATTCTGAGAAGAAAATCTGGATGCTTCCTCCTCTGCTGTGGGAACCTGCGGGTTGCACGGCCTCTTGGCCACAGCCTTCCCTGCGGGCAGAGCGAGTTTCCCACTGCAGTCCAGGGGTGGATGTGCCGGAGCACACCTTCCTGCTGTTGCTGCCGGGTGGGCTGTGCCTTGAGCAGGATGCGATACGGTGGGCAGCTCAGCGTCTGGTTGGGCAGGCTGGCAGGACCTGCCTCCATTCGAAGTCCTTCGCGCAGTCCATCAGCTGCCAGCACAAAACCCTCTCTGAAGCATTGCTGTTTCAGTGGTAAAACAGATATTGAAAAAATAAAATAACGTTTCATAGCATCTTTTTTCATGGTGTGAAAGGAAGAAGTAATAGGTGAGCCCATTGCCTTTAGGGAATTGAGGTTTAAGCCTAAATTCTGTATTTTCTGCTATGGGTGAAAGAGCTTCCTGGTTTTTGAAGCTGCGGCATCAGCTTGCTCACAGCTGCCATTTAGATCTGTTTGTAAAGCTGTGGATCCCCACAGTTGCACCGTAAGCCAGAAGGCTTTTTTTTTCCTTTGGTGGAGCTTTCTCTGATGTGATTATTGAAGGACATGGAGCTACTGGAGCAAGTCCAGAGGAGGGCCACAAAGATGATCTGAGGGCTGGAACACCTCTGCTATGAAGACAGGCTGAGAGAGCTGGGGCTGTTCAGCCTGGAGAAGAGAAGGCTCTGGGGTGATCTTATAGCAGCTTTCCAGTACCTAAAGGGGGCCTACAGGAAAGCTGGAGAGGGACTTTTTACAAGGGGCAATGGATTTAAACTGAAAGAGGGCAGATTTAGATTGGATATAAGGAAGAAATTTTTCACTCTGAGGGTGATGAGGGACTGGAACAGACTGCCTAGAGAAGTTGTGGATGCCCCATGCCTGGAAGTGTTCAAAGCCAGGTTGGATGAGGCTTTGAGCAAGTTGGTGTAGGGGAGGGTGTCCCTGCCTATGGCAGGGGGGTTGGAACTAGATGATCTTTGAGGTCTCTTTCAACTCAAACCATTCTATGATTATATAGCATGTTTTGTCTTTTGTGTTTCTTATCATAAATATATATTTGAGCACTGCCTTTGCTCTTGAGAGTCAGAAGGGAATAATATTTTCCATGTATTATTTACTTTTACACAGTTAGCAAAAGAATATTTACATATATGCTTTTAACTCTGCTAATGAAACTATCATAATGTCAAATAAAATGTCACTGTGACCATGGCTCATTAGCATTACAAATTTAGTTGAAGAGATAAATGGCCAGATCCTTCAGGGTGTAAGTCAGTCCAGCTCCAGGCATTTGTGCTCACAAGATTTGCAAGGTCTAAGGATGGGTCTTGAAAAATACTGCATTAATGAAATGCAAATCATATTTCAGTTGTTAAAGGAACCTGCTATCTCAGGCGTCTCAGGCAACAAAACTGTAAAACTGCTCCAGTTGGGATACAAAAAGCAAATAAGTAGTTACGGTCTCTGCTGATGTAGGGGAGTGAAACACATCAGACCATGTAAAGCTTAATATTCCATGAATGGCGTGGTCCAAAGCCCATGGAGAGTCAGTGGCAAGACTGTTGGTACATGATCCAAAGGTGATTAGTCAGAAATTAAGGATTCTAGGCCTATTCTTTACCCAGTAATAACTGCAGTCAGTTGATCATGGCTGGTTTATAACACAGGAGCTAATGATGTGCAATAAAAATCAACCTCTCATAGACACAGAAAATGTTTTTGCTAGTGACACAATGTAAATGCAAACAGATTATTAAAAATAGATCACAATTAACATATTATTCTAATGAGGTTTAATTCTGTTTGTGTAATTTGAAGAAAAACTGATGCAAGTCATATCATCTTTGATGACAGCTTAAAGACAAATTTAAACAAAGCAGCTGAATTTCCATATGAGCTTTAATTGACAATTGAACTGAAATAGTCAAACTTTACTAATTTCCAGAGTGAGGTAATGAAGGAGTTTGTCTAAGAAATTTAATAAGGATGAATGGGCACAGTTCAATACACTGATACTGTCTCATAAATTTTTGTTCCATGACAAGTACAAAGTTATACACATCTAAACTATCATTTAAGTTGTTGAAAGCGTTTCCTATGAAATTATGCAGTCTCAGTGATTGCTACTGAATGACTGAATAAACAATTTTTGAAAGTGCCTCTTTAAAAAGCAGTAATTGTCTATTTTAAAGAAAGAGAAATCAATAAAAAAGCATTAAGAATACTACAATATCAAAGGATGTATACTGATATGTGACTTCTGTGTAAATTTTTAACGGCCTATATGTTCAACTGCATCCTACGAATGACAAATAAGCCTTTTAAAATAAAATTAAGAAGGTATTAAATCCAAACATCGCCACATCTTTTCCTAAAAGGATCTTCTTTGAATATAAAACTGGTAAAGTCAACTAACCACTCATTAGATGAGGCCAGAGAGAGTTCTTCTTGATTAAGCTGTGAAATGTGGTGGCCCATCAAGTAACCTCTTCCCTGAGTCCCAGTACAAAGCAAATATTAATTGCTGTTTCTCTCCAATGTCTACAGGAGTGTTTGCATAGTAGACTGAGAATTAGCTGAAAGTTAAGCAGAAGACAAACACCTAGTGACAGAATTTTATGTATATTATTGTATCAGAAAAATTCTGAAGACAGGTGTGCGGTCCCCAGTACACTTAATAAAAGAAAGAGACTGTGTTTGCTGGGTTTCAGGGCTGAACATTTACCTTTCAAGCATATTAACAGGGAATTTAGCAACTAAGAAATCACAATGATGATGAGTGCTCACGTGAATGCATCTGTGGGCTTTGAAAGTGACAGCTGGAGCACGGGTGGTTTCTCACCAAGAAGCACTTTTAAACTCAGGCTCCATCTAAGCCAAGTTATCCCAAACCATCTCCATTAAGTAAAGGGTCAGTGTCTCAATACAAGAGCAGTCTGCTGGACCATATTGACACATCCAAGTATGTTGCATGTAAGACAGGGACCAATGCTAGAGCTCCTGAGGACTAAGCGTGTAGTTGCACTGCTACAGTTGAGTTGAGCCCAGCACCTGAGAATAGCAGGCCAGATGGAAACTGCCTTTACCTGCACTGCTGAGCAAAGTTATGTCCAGTTTGCTGGCCCTGAGGCAGAGCTCCACTTTATCTGGACTATGTGTGCTTGGTGCTGTGTTTGGTTTGCTGGGCCCAGTGTAATGCCCAGTGACTCTAAGCTGTAATTTTTAGCTTTTGTGTATCTTTATCAGTTCAAAGTGTCATAATACTGGAAGAACAGTGCTGTAGACAAGCAGAAGCAGATTTGTATATGTGTGTATATGCACTGGGTTTAGCATGAGGACATAGAGGTCTTCAAAGATCTAAACCTACCGGATAAAATGGAGAGCAGGTTCTCATGCAGTCTTATCCATACTCCCTTCTGGGAGTGATCCCCAAAATGTGCTAGGATCCAAACTGCCAGTGCATGGTATGAGAAACCTAATTGGCATGCACCAAAACCAGACCAGTACAAATGCTCAAGTTTGTTTTCTGGGGCTATTTTAATCAATAGTATGGACACAGCTGTTATTGCTAACTTCCATCACTCATCAGCACATGGTTGTTTTTCTGCATCCAATGGATTTTTTTTATACCTGCACCTATGCCATAATGGCTATAGTACTATGCTTGAGGTGTTATGCTTCTGAATATACTGAAGACATTTCCTCTTCCTCCTACAGGTATGGTCAGGTTGTGTGATATTATTTATATATGCAAAATGTTCTATGTATAGTGAGTAACTCATTTTTTCTCTAACACTCAAATTAACTAAGCCAATAGGCTTGCAAAATTTTGCTGACTGGAGTCAGGTCACCATGCAAAACCTGTTCACACTTTTACTCGATCTTGGACAGAGAGGACACAAGGAAAATCCTTTCTACTACCCTCTATTTTCAGTAAGAAAAAACTAGAGTTAATTTTTCTGATCATCTCATAACCTCAGAAAAATAGTTTGTTGTCATTCAGTTTGCGGAGACTAATTTATTCAAATCAGCTTCCCAAACCCAGATATTATGCACAATGCTTTTTTTTTTTCCTGAACTAATCATGTATTTTAATTAGTAAGCAATGTTTTCCAGCATAGAAATTACAGAGTCTGCGCAGCTTAGCTTCTTGTGCATTCAGTAACTTGTCCTTTATCAAAGAGTCAGTCCTCTTGTGTCTTATTGGCAGTACATGATGTGCATTGATTGTGGACAGTGATCTATTTAATTAGCTTATTCATGTGTCTGTGTAAAAAAAAGCTACAGGTACCAAAACCAAGAGATAACAAAAAGAGCTGAGAGCATCTTCAGTTACAGTATTCTCTTTATCAAGCTCTGAATTTAAATCATCTGCTCTGGAAAACAGATTATGAGTTCATTTAACTGGAAATTAACACAGTGAAAGCTTGCTGCTTATAAATGGTGTTTAGCTCTTCAGGTTTTTTTTTATTCATTCCACCCCTTACATCCGTAGTATGCCCAGTATTGGAGAGCCCAGGGTTTTATTTTAGTAAAACTAGTGCAAATTGAGCAATTATCATATTATTCCAAATTCAGACTGACATTTCTAAGATGCAGACAAACTGGAGCCTATAATGAACACAAAAATACTGTCAAAATCAAAACGACAGCATTTTATACCAATTTTTTACACAATAAAGGTTTGATCCTTCTTATATATAACGCATGTTAACTACTGAAAATGTAAGCTAATAAACAGACCTTAAGTGTTTTGTAACTTAATGGATAGAATGATAAAATTCAAGTACTTGTGTAGGATAAGATATAATTTGAGGGGGCACGAATACAGACAAATGTAAAGTCATGACAAAGATCTCACAAACCAAAAGATGCATTGAAACTGGCATCATAATTCACATTTTTTGAACAGTCTCATGGTTGGAATCAATGGCAGTGTAAAGTAAAATAACTTTTTTAGCAAAGCTACACTGAAGACTGTCAAGTTCTCAGCTGAAACCAAAAGTTGGAACAGTATATAATGTGCTAGCTGAAGGCCTGATAGAAACATTTTGGTAGAGCAGAGAATTATTTCATAGCAAAATGTCAGCAATTGCTTCAATTCTTTAATTTTCTTCTTCCTTACTAAATCTATAAATAAAATCTAGCTTTATTTTTGGGACGAGGGAAGGGGGAGGAATAAGTAAGGGAAAAGTATTTATAGAGCAAATAATAAGAAAGGAAGAAATATTTACCTTAAGAGAACAGATGAATTAGCCGCACATCCTTCCTCCTTTTCTGGAAAAGATAAAGCCAGGAGCAATGGTGTTGGGAAACATAACAGGTTAAGTTCTGTTATATCATCGATGACGTGGAAAAATGACTATGGAATGCTTATTTATGGAATGTTTTCCAGCTCAGAAATCACAGTCTGCGTATCTTAGCCTTTTGTCCATTTAGTAACTTGTCCTTTACCAAAGAGTCAGTCTTCTCATGTTTTACTGGGAGTACATGATGTGCGTTGATTGTAGACTGTGATCTGTTTAATTAGGTTGCTCATATGTCTGTGTAAAAAAGCCCCCAACCACCAAAAATAAAAGAGATAATAATAAATAATAAAAAAAACAAACCTGATGACTCTTCTTTATTTTTCTGGTATTGTTTACCAAAGAACTTGTCAGCATCCATTCAACTTGAACATTAACATATGGATTGAAGCTGAACAGTAAGGACATACCTTCTCCTACCTCTGTTAGGAGAGCAGGGAAGTCTTTGCTTGAGAATGCCAAGAAATCTGAAAATACAAATGAATTGAAAGAAATACAGATTCTTGGAAACAGACTCATTAGTGACTTCTGAAGTTGACTCAGACTCTAGCCAAGGAAGCCCATGAATCACAGTCCATTTAAACTGGGTGGATATAAGTTTCCCTGTTTCCCTCAGTTCTCTTAGTTGACAGGTAATTACTTTGAATAAATTAAGATGAATAAAAATTAAGCAAACCCATTAACTTTGGGTCCAGCACATTCCTGATCAGTTGTCTTTCATATTTTTAACTACAGAATCCTCTTCACCTGCAGATGAGTTTAGAAAACTCACTGAGTTCTGATGCTGACGTCACTTTCTCGATCCTTGCGATGAACAACTGGTATAATTTCAGCCTGATGCTATGCCAGGAGGAGTGGAACATCACTGATTTTCTCTTCCTCACACAACAGAGCTCCAAGTTCCACCTGGGATCCATTATAAACATCACTGCAAACCTCACTTCAACCAGTGACCTTCTGAACTACTTACAGTTTTACCTGGAGAGCATCAAAGACACAACATCTACCATGGTGATGTTTGGCTGTGACATGGAAAAAACGCGGAGGATTTTTGAAATAACCACCCAGTTTGGTGTGATGCCTCCAGAACTTCACTGGATTATTGGGGATTCACAAAACGTGGAAGAACTGAGAACAGAAGGTTTGCCGCTCGGTCTCATTGCTCATGGGAAGACAACACAGTCAGTCTTCGAGCATTACGTGCAGGATGCAATGGAGCTGGTAGCAAGAGCTGTAGCAGCAGCCACCATGATTCAACCTGAACTAGCTCTTATTCCAAGTACAATGAATTGCATGGACACAGATGAAAGGAATATCACTTCAGGGCAGTATTTGTCAAAGTAAGTTTTTCCTTTTTTTCTTTTGTGTAGATAATATTTGTGGTATACAAGAAAAAAAAAGTTCCTCCCCCTCCCCACCATTCTCAGTGGCTTTGCTATCATGCTGTTAACCCTCCCTCATACACACATTTGTTTCAGTATTTTCACATATTTTCACATGTTTTCAGTATTTGTTTCAGTATTTCCTCCTGCTTCATTACTTCTGGGCAAATGACGGGGCTTAGACTTAGCCACAGAGGGAGATCAAGGCAGTTCTAGAAGAAGATACTGTTCCAGAGAAGTAGAGATCACATAATAAACATAGTCTAGGTTACAGTCTATGCTCCGAAAGTATCTTGTATTTATGTTTATGCATACAAGAGGGAGGAGTCAGAGCTAGTGTCAAATTCTCTGAGGTTTTGAAATCGCTAAGAGAATACAAAACACGATAAGAATATTTGCGCTACCAAAGCAATCCGCGTAAAAGCAGATATGTAGCCCTTGCTAGTATGCTTCCATGGAAAAGAAACAAAAGAGGAGCACCTTGACCACCTCAGAGGCCACTGCTGCTGATGAGAGCACTCAAAACTACAAGGTGCTCGCTCTGCTGCTTGGTGCGGGAGGCTCCTCTTTCAGCTTCTGTTAAAGCTGTTCCTGTAGACCATGGCACGTCACTATACTGAAGCTGTGCCCAAAACTGCTTGAGGACTCATGTCTAGAAATATTCTAGTGTTTAACATATGAGAGGAAAAATTGTGTGGTTCTTTTTGAAAACAAACGAAAAGGTCCTTGCTAAGTATGTGAATTCATCACCTGGTTTACATCCAGTGACTGTTGCCTCTATCCCCCCTGTTACACCTGGTTTTCAGCCTACAGATTTTGTTTGATGGAGTTAGGATGTAAGTTCTTGAAGCTTTTTGTATGTCTGCAACTTTTTTTAGATGGTATCTGAGATATGGCTTCACAATAATGTGGTAACGGCACTGCTCAAAACACAAACATCTGAGACCCTAACAGTTCCTTAGTCAGCACTCATCCATAATTTAGAGGTCAAAAAAAAACCTATTTCCAGAGAATGAAACAAGGCTTGGAAATAAATACTGCACTGGCTGCAAGATCCCCACTGACTTGTGGTATTGATTTTGTCTCATTATTCTGAGTATTTTAACTGGATCATACCTAAGTCTCTGAAAAGTAAAAACTCAGCAAGAGGCTTCTTAAAGCAACAAATATTTGAGGACAGTAGTTTTATGAACAAACTTTTTGAGGGTTAAGGAAGGGACAAAGAAAAAGGAAAGTAAACTTAAAACAGTTTTCCCACAAAATATTTCTTCATCATTGCTTTATACAGAAAGCTGTTAGCGCTCTTACGAACAGTGACTGATGTAACTTTTACTATATTTTGAGAGACAATATGCAATTTCGTATTTATGAAATTCCTTGTCCCTTCATTTCAGTAAAGATATGGTGGGAAAAAAAAAGGATTATATGCTTAGCCCTTTTTTCCCTAGGCATCTGCTTGTGGACCCTCTTAAAGAGAAAATAACAGGTTAGATAAACCCTTTTCCTGAATCATTGCAGCTGTTTTTATAGTGTATAAGAGAGACAAGATACCTGCTGGCCAGTACTGATGCATTTGTTAGCAGCATAACTATTAACTGAGTGGTACCAATAATTTCTCAGGTGTGAAGCACCAGTGAGTGGCTTAACTGTGACCAACCTTGTCCTTTGCATGAGTGCTTTTAGGCAACTGGTACGCCTCCAAAAAGGAAAATTTTATCTGGTGCTTAATTAAGTGTTTACTAATGCGGGTGTTTTTCTGTCTGAATGGACCCATCTGTCTTGATATGTAGCCTTGGAGCTGCGGTAGGCGGAGATGGAGAAGGCACAGTGGCACAGAGCTTCGCCTCCTTTAACTGCAGTGTGTCATTAAACAGCAGTCCCAGAAGCTGCTACAGCTGACACCGGAGCTTTCATCGCCAACACTGCCCTCGTTGGCCGTGCAGACATTTAAATGCCACCCAAGAGCAGAATAGCGATTGTAAACAGGACCAAGATCTGGCCCATCTTGGGCCAGTATACTTTTATCTATATGGATAGGGGTATGGCTATAGATGTACAAACTGCTGAAGATTACACTGTTGTAAGTCTCTGTCCTTCAATCCACAAACAGATCCGTTCCCTGATCTGTTCATACCTCATCGTGGGAGCACCCTTGTTGATGGAACAAGGCACTAAAATTTCAAAGCCTCATCTTGTCTTATAGATTTAGTCTTACAGCTTTAACTAGTCTTACAGCTTTCACTCTGCTTTTTGGGTAATTTCAGCAGCCTGAAATTTTCTTTTCCATTCTAGTTCTTGCTTCCAGTAAACTTTCCAAGAAAGATGTCGAATGACCGAGCCATCAAGCCTGAAAGAAAATTAAATCATTTAATTAAATTATTCTGAAAGGTACTACAAAGATATCGCTGCTGGAGTATGATAGTACTGCTAGAGCTCTAATAAGCAGTTCTCGCAACAAAGCACATGAAAAACAAATAAAGCTGGAATGAGCAAATTACACACTTTGGACTCATTGGTCTAACTGAAGTGACACTAATAAAGCTTTGATACAGCTAGCACAGCCTATCAGCATGATCATCAGCTCACACATATTGATATGACATCAAGGAAATTCATGCAGCTGTCAGACTTGAGGATCTGACCTTTCACATTCTGAAATTTGTACATATCTTTTTTCCATACAAATCTGTTGGTAGTCCTACTGAAAAGATATTGCTCAGATATTGCCAGAGTGTATGTGCAGTACTAAGCACTTGTAATTCCCAAAGATTGACACTAGAGATTGCTGGTTTAAATAATGTAATCAGATCCTCTTACCTATTTCCTAAAGTTACCAAGTAAGGGAGTTTTTCCATAGAGTCCCTGGCATGAGTTTCTCTAGTGCTGCATACAGAGTGTGCAAATTATTAGCAGCCATAGCCTTTCACGTATAAAACAAAGTGTTGTTACAATGTATGATCTACCACATGGTTCCCCTCATTTATTTTGATTAATGTCTTGACACTACCAAAAAACAGAATATGCAAATCAGTTCCAAAAGTAAGCCATTAACTTGATAAGGTAGTGAAGTCATACATTTCAATGCTACTAAATCTCTCAGGTAACCACTTCTAACACAATTCAACCACAGGACAGGTACAGAGGGCTCGATTCACCCTCATGGGCACACTTATTTCTGCAGTGAAAGTCAAAGAATACATTGCATAAATTCCACTGTTCTCATTCTACCTGCAGAAAATAAATCTAATGCATTATTCCATAGCTTCATCTATTCCCAGAGCACCTGGTCTGCAGCATTCTGATATCCAAGTTGTGCTGTAGTAGCAACGTGGAGTCAAATTCATCAGAACTTTGCTATCTTATTCCATCTGAGGACTTGTCCCCCTCAATTTTGGCATTTTGTGAGCTATTAACACTGTTTTGCACACTTAAACAATTCTTTCAAAATTTTATGTACAGACCCACCTATACATGCAATGGTTTTACTGTCGTTTTCTTAGTGATGCCTTCAGTATATAAGCCCAGCAAGGCTTGTAAGGAAGAAGTTGCACAATTTTTTACAAAGACTGAGGAGGAGAGATAAAAAACAGATAAGTTTATGGGCACATAAACCTTTCTTTAGTGTTTAAGATTGCCTTGCCCTATAAACTTTGTCTTGACAATGTTTACATACACAAACATGCAAGTACACCATCAAATATGAAACACAGGGTAGGAGGAAAGGGCTAGTCAAACAGTGACAGACACCACTGATTAATGAAGATATGGTATCATTTAGCTAACACTAGACTAAGTGTTAAAGGATTTTAAAAATTAGAACCACATTTATGCATCTGTCTCATTATGAACACCTGTGTGCATTTTTTGGCATAATTTTCAGGCCCAAGTTAACACATGTACAATTGCTTTTGACAGTATTGGCTGTATCAAAATGGACTGCATAAGAAGAATTTTGAAGCCATCTCAGAGAAGGCTCTCACACACACCACACACAGCCACAGTCAAAACTATATTATTTAGTTTCATAAATTTACCCTTTATGAGGAGAAAACCTGATATGTTCTTGAGACGTTTTAACTGCTGAAACTCCCTCAAAAATCATCATCATTCATCAAAACAAAGGGTAGAGACTGGGCAGAAGCATGCATGCACACATACTTTCTATGGATTTGTCCTTTTCAAATGAATTTAAGGTTATTTTATTAACACTACTTAAAGTTTATGTCTTGCTTATTGAGGCTGGAATGACAGCTATAGCCTTTATACTTCTTTGAATACTTGCTTTCATCCAATTCCCAGAACTAATGTGAGGTGTTGTATTCTACTATCACAGCGAAATAGACTGTCTTCTGAATGCGTCTTATGGAAAGATAGTGCCTGGCTTACCTCACACTGTATTAGCAGCCATTTAACTCCGTTGTTTTTTAATGGAATTGCCATACTAAGATTTACACAGTCTTAGTAGGCTCCCTCTACAGCCCCTGCAAAACGCATAGCAGCTTTCGTATTAACAGAGTGCAGTTCAGCTGTCATGGTGTTTACACTAAGAAGGATTTTCTCCCTACAACACATTCCCTGCTCAGTTTCCTGCTCCTTTATCCATGTCATTTTAGCCTCTTTGATCATGACTTACCAGAAGCTGAATTCAACATACAGGGAGGACAACCACTAGCAAACATTGCCACCCAATACAAAGGAAATACTTAACTTTGTTCTGAATATCTGGGATAGTAAAAGCCAAAATATCTCAATGCAAAATCTGCAGTGCAAAACTGGCACACTTCATAAGATCTGCTACAATGTCAAAATTGTAGTTCTAAGAACACTACTTTTTCAGATATTTTAAGGAACTTTTTTTTTTTCTCTCAATAAGAATTAAAACTGTCTGTCCATGGGCAACCATCTTTCACTGAGTCCATTTCTTCATTCTCAAGTGGCTAACAGTGATTTATCAATGCCAAATCTGCATGTTTGAATCCAGATTGGTTCACTTCAGAGTGCTTGAAAGCTGTTGACAGCAATCAGTATCCTCTCTTATGTAAGCTAGATCTTACTGAGATTATAGGATTTTTCTTGGAAGAACATTCATACATAATTTCCATTCTTCCATTTTCATACATATTTTTATCTAGGAAACTGACTACAGATCTGGTGAGTTCAGCTTAGAACTAACCTATGTTTCATTAATTTATGAGGCAAAGGTAACTGAAAAAAATTATGTTCTCTCACTCATTTTTTCTAATAAGTAAAAAGATTATCTTTCCTGAAGAGTTTTCATTTACATTAGGTAAGATATGTAGGAGAACATTCCCAAGTACTTCAGTCATAAATTAAGTGGCTTGTTCATTGTGCCATAGGACAGCTATTAATCATCCAGATGTTCAACAACATCCCAAATCTATTCTCTTAAACGTAAATTTGTAGTGTCTGCATATGCTTTAGCACAATGACTTCAGCTGACTGCTTCTGACTACTCTGCTTTCTCCCTCCAACAGGTTTTTAGCCAACACAACTTTTGATGGTCTCAGTGGCCACATTAAGGTGAAAGACTCCTCCATCGTCAGCTCAGAAAACAACTTCTTCATCTGGAATCTGCAGCACGACCCTGTCGGGAACCCAATGTGGACTCGTCTGGGGAGCTGGCAAGAAGGAAAGATAATCATGGACTATGGGATATGGCCAGAACAGGCCCAGAGACATAAAAATCACATGCAGCACCCCACCCGGCTGCATCTCAGAGTGGTAACTCTCATTGAGCATCCATTTGTCTTTACAAGAGATGTAGATGATGAAGGTCTTTGCCCAGCAGGGCAGCTGTGCCTGGATCCTTTGACCAATGATTCAGCCGTGCTGGATAACCTGTTTGAAACCCTTCAAGGAGGGAATGACACCGTTCCCATTGAGCTGAAGAAATGCTGTTATGGCTACTGCATTGACCTGCTGGAGAAGCTAGCTGAGGATATGAATTTTGATTTTGACTTGTACATTGTTGGTGATGGAAAATATGGAGCCTGGAAGAATGGCCACTGGACAGGGCTGGTGGGAGACCTTCTTGCTGGCACAGCTCACATGGCAGTGACGTCATTTAGCATTAACACTGCCCGCAGCCAAGTGATTGATTTCACCAGCCCTTTCTTTTCAACTAGCTTGGGCATCTTGGTGAGGACCAGAGACACAGCAGCTCCTATTGGAGCCTTTATGTGGCCACTTCATTGGACTATGTGGCTGGGGATATTTGTTGCTCTGCACATCACAGCTATATTCCTCACCTTGTATGAGTGGAAAAGTCCTTTTGGGATGACCCCCAAGGGAAGGAATAGGAACAAAGTCTTCTCTTTCTCCTCTGCCCTGAATGTCTGCTATGCAATCTTGTTTGGAAGAACAGCTGCCATCAAACCTCCCAAGTGCTGGACTGGAAGGTTTTTAATGAATCTCTGGGCTATTTTCTGTCTGTTTTGTTTGTCCACATACACAGCCAACCTAGCTGCCGTCATGGTAGGAGAGAAGATCTATGAAGAGCTTTCTGGAATACACGACCCAAAGGTAAAGCATGTCTGTTGTTATTAACTCAGCCTTCTCTTCTTCCAGTCAAAATCCACTGCTGCATGATTGATGGTTTCTAATAAAATCAGAAAGCAATCTGTGTGCAAAACAGCAGTTGCACTACAATTAGTTACCACCTAACAGCAGCTCAGTAGGAAAGTTCAGTGAGAGAGGATCTTTAAACATCCACAGAAGTGTTTGGGAGATTTTAAAGATTGTGAGTGAGGAGGAAGGTGAAGGATTTTGGTGTTGCCCACTGCAGAGAAGAAAAGTGGCTTCTACATGCAGATTAAGGGTTTGGTTTCAGTTCTGAAGTCCCTTTGGGCTGTAGTTATTTTGATCTATCGGTTGATTTGGGTCATCCTGAGATGTAATCAAAACAACCACGCAGCATGAACACAAAATAACCGATGTTCTAGGTGGGATTTTGCTAGTATTTCACAGGCCATAATGGTGCTTACAAAGGTGTTACTGGCAAAATTCCCCACGAATGCTAAATCGAATGGAGCAGAACTAAAATATTTCAAAAAATCCTACCTTCTGCATAAAAACAGTGGAATTTACTTTACAAGTAGTCAGATATTTGACTTGCAATGTTGTTTCTGCTGAGGAACTGTCATGGGAAGAGATTAATTATGTTGCAGATAACCCATCTGCAAATAGCTCAGACTTCCTGATACTTTTGGGTGAGGCAAGGAGAAATGTAGAAGTGGGACTGCTTCCACCCACTCTCTCCCTCACTCCCAAGGGGGAATGAAAGGAACTTCAGTGGGAATTTGAGTCCAGTCATTTTATAAGACTATTCTGATTTTAATTGCCACTAAGTAATGATCATGAAAACATGTGTGCAGAATGGTTTGTAGAGAGAATATCTGGCTGCAGGTGACACAAGAGCAGGCATCCTCTTCATCTTGCAGTCAGTGTAGGCGATAGGGTGGCAACAGCAAATTTCCCATGCTTGTTTGGCACTTTCTCCAGTGAAGGTGTGACTGTATTGTCCACAGTTTTATACTTACGACCTAACTGCTGGTACATAGCTTCGAAACCATCCATTGTTGATTTGTCTCAAGTGGCTGAATTGATACAGCATTGTGCCACTGTTTAAGAACTCCAGAAGTGAACATTCATTTTGCTTTCATAAATTGTGTAAATAAAGGTCACATATGTCCCTCCAGACATCAAAGGCTAAGCTCCATCTGTTGTGTTAGTAAAACTTTGCATTCAGACTAATGACCATACAGTTTTGACTTTGTAAGTACGACTTCTGACTCACTTCCTCCAAGTTTGTCTAGATTATTTCTACCAAAAATACTTAAACAAAGAACAATACTTTTTATGATTGGCCTGAGGCACTCTAAAATTGATTTATGATTTAAAGCAAATCGCTGCTGATAATCTGCCCTTCCCCTCCCAGAAAAAAATATCATAAATACCGCATCATTAACTTCATCAATTTAAGCCAGAAAAGTCCAGGAATCATGTATTTTTCATTCAAAGCATTCCGAATAAGCAAATGAGAGCTTTTGGCTGGATTTCCTCAACTCCAGGAATATCTCCTTTACAGTCACTGTTGTGTGAGCTGTAATGTTGGCTTGAAAATTAGCTTAGTCCTGTAGTCTTTGCATGGGCATCAGCTAATCCATCAAATCAAATCATGTCAGATTACATCCTATTTTCTTCCATCATTATTGTGACCACACATGGAGTTCCTAAGACAAGTGTTGGGAAATTTCTGCAATTGCAAGAAAATGAAATTATTCTAAAGCTGCACTGTAAAGTTTGGCTGTTGAGTTACAAAACTGAACACAGATTATTGAAGCATATCAGGTGCTGCAAACACAGGTCTTAGTCCAGAACAGAAACATCAATGACTCATGTTTAGTAACCTCAGTGATCCCATTAAATCAGTGGCATTACTCCTTCTGTGACAAGGTGACCAGCTTAGTGGATGAGAGAAAGGCCATGGATGTTGTCTACCTCGACTTTAGAAAAGCATTTGACACTGTTTCTCATAGCATTCTCCAGGAGAAACTGGCTGCTCATGGCTTGGATGGGCTGGGTAAAAAAATGTCTGGGTGGCCGGGCCCAAAGAGTTGTGAATGGAGGTAAATCCAGTTGGTGTCGATCACAAGTGGCACTCCTCAAGGCTCAGTATTGGGGCCAGTTCTGTTTAATATCTTTGTCAATGATCTGGATGAGGGGATTGAGTGCATCCTCAGTAAGTTTGCAGATGACACCAAGGTGGGTGGGAGTGTTGATCTACTTGAGAGTAGAAAGACTCTACAGAGGGATCTGGGCAGGCTGGATCGATGGGCTGAGGCCAATTTTATGAGGTTCAACAAGGCTAAGTGTGAGGTCCTGCACTTGGGTCACAACAACCCCATGCAACACTACAGCCTTGAGGAAGAGTGGCTGGAGAGCTGCTGGGTGGAAAAGGACCTAGGAGTGTTGATCAATAGCTGTCTGAATGCAAGCCAGCAGTGTGCCCAGGTGGCCAAGAAGGCCAATAGCATCCTGGCTTGTATCAGAAATAGTGTGACCAGGACTAGGGAAGTGACTGTCCCCCTGTACTCGGCGCTGGTGAGGCCCACTTTGAATACTGTGTTCAGTTTTGGGCCCCTCACTACAAGAAAGACATTGAGGTGCTGGAGCGTGTCCGAAGAAAGGACAACAAAGTTGGTGAAGGGTCTAGAGCACAAGTCTTATGAGGAGCAGCTGAGGGAACAGAGATTGTTTAATCTGGAGAAAAGGAGGCTGAGGGGAGACCGTATTACTCTCTACAACTACCTCTAAGTGGCAGTCGGTCTCTTTTCCCAAGTAACAAGTGACAGGACAAAAGGAAATGACCTCAAATAGCACCAGGGGAGGTTTAGATTGTCTATTAGAAAAAATGTCTTCACCTAAAGACTTATCAAGCATTGGAACAGGCTGCCTAGAGATGTGGTTGAGTCACCATCCCTGCAGGTATTTAAAAGGACATGTAGATGTGGTGCTTACGGACATGGTTTAGTGGTGGACTTGACCGTGTTAGGTTAATGGTTGGACTTGATGATCTTCAAAGTCTCTTCCAACCTAAATGATTCTATGATTCCTAGTCAGGCACTTCTCTGATTCATGGACCAGATCTAAGCTTCTGAGTAGTTGCCAGTTTCCAGTGTGGGAGTAAGAGCAGGTAGTTTTTATGGAAGAGAATCGTGTGCCGTTACATCAACTAAAAAATAGTTTAATATGTTTCATTCCTGCATTTGCCTCCAAAATCTTAATCCGTAAGAGTAGTTGTAATAGAAAACGTACTGGTTTAACCTTTTCTCACACAAAGCCTGAGCTGTGCCCTTTCAAAGGTCTCTCTGAGACTTAAATCTTGCATTTAGGAAATGTTTGGGGCACAACAGTTGGCAGAGGTACGCGAATCTCTTTTTAGTTAGTTACTTAAAATGTTTTTTACTTGATTTAAAGATTTTGTGGGGTTTTTTTTCCATATCTGCTTACCTCTTTCTTTTCTAGTGGTGGAGATTCATTTCAAAAAGAAGGCAGCAGGATGCAGAAATAATCTTTTTAATTTTAATGGGCTTTTAAACATTCTCCTGCTGCTCTCAGGATACATATGCCCTTGTGCTGTGCTTTTGAAATGTATTTAAAAACCAAAGCCCAAAATAGAGGAACAACCTTCTTGAGGTGATGTAACACATGTCATTTCTTCAGGCTGGCAGCCACAAACAGCAAATCCCACCTGAGACTGCAAACAGTTAGGAAGGAAGGCAAGTTGGGAAAAATTAAAGTTTTTTTTCAATATTAGAAACCTGGTCAGTTTTGGTGACTTTTTTCTAAAGTCAGTATTGCCAGGAATATGTATGCTCTCTCTTGTGGTTAAAAAATAAAGACAAGGTTAGATTTAGCCTGAATGAATAGCATCTGACTTTCTAGAAAAATCTATGTTACAACAGTGATGTTTAATTGACCAAGCACTACAGTGTTTTAGCAGTTGCTCATTGCAGCTCAGCAAAGGAAACATGGTCATCCCGTGTTGCTGAAGTCTCAAAGGTACAACATTTTCATCAGAAATCAAAAGAAAATGAGTCGTGTTACAAACACTAATCACAAGGTAAAGTGGAATATGGAATTAGAGGTATCTCAATTGGACCTTAAAATGCACTAATGATGTAGAAGTAGAGGTAAGGGAATATAGAAATATCATTACGCTGCTGAAAGGACGAGCAGCTGGTGAGGCAAGACAAACCCGAGCAGAAAGCAAGCAATGGAAGGGAGGAGAATTAAGTTCCTGGAATATGTCTCATATTTGGGAAATTTAGTGTGTATTTTCCATGTAAGAAGCTGAACAAGGGTGGGTCACTAAAGCCAAACATCTGGAGTATCCACCAGAGCTGGCTACTCCCTTTGCTAGGACACATCTCAGGTGACTTTGTGGTAGGAGCTACAATGTAGCCAGTAAGTTGCAGAAATATGAAAGCCATCTCCTGCCACCTTAAATTCTTACTTTTCTAAAAGAACAGGCAATTTTGGGGCACAGCTGCCCTCTCTCCCTCATTTTCTAATCTTAGATATTTTAGACCATCATTGCTTGCCGGTGGAAACTGGCAAACACAGCTTTTGGGGAAGAAACTCGCTTGAACACGTTCAGTCTGCAGTTAGAGCACAAGAGGGATAGCTACAACATGAACATGCTGTATACCCGGATGATAGTTGCAGTAGCCTCCTGACTCCCTCTTAGGAAGCTCTCTAGAGTACATGGCAACGAAATTTAAAAGTTTGTTTACATACAGATAGAGGAGATAGAGACAGAGGGATTGCATTTGTAGCATTTTACACTGCTTTTATCCCTTCTCTCATCTGAATCCCAGAGGCTTATTTCAGTTTTTCTCCTAGTGTTACATCTATGGATGCACAAAAAATTACAACATTCTTCTTTGCCAGAGTGCTTGGCAGACCAGGTATGCTGTTGTATGAGTTGACCTCAGTTAATCAGCCTGCCTTTGAGCTGA